TGCGTCCTTTTCCCAACTTTAATGTATTTTCTATACATTTTATTTTAAGACGAAAACATTAATAAAATATGAATGGTTTTACACTTGAATCACGAGGTAGAAAACGAAGTTTTATAATACATATTAGAAACGTGGTAATACTAAAAAACACCTTTAATTAAGGTAATTTTTTCTTTTTTAGTCGTACAAGTAAAAAATTAAACACTCTCTTTGTCACATCTGTTTACCGTAAAAAAGAAACATTTACTGGCTTATACACTCGGTTTGACAGTTTCATACCAGACTCCTTCAAACGTAACCTTTTTCTGAATCTTCTAAACACAACATATAATATATGTTCTGGCTACATCTGTCTTCACTAAGAATTTTCCAAAATTCATAACATGTTACAAACGTAATGGTTATCCTCTTAATTTATTACACCCTACCACACGAACATTTTTTTAACGAATAAAATAAAACCTACCAAGAAGCCATACGTTGTCTAAAAATATCCACTAGTTCTTCTCACTCTTCTCAAGGGCAAACAAAGTTTTAAACTGAAATCATGAATTTAAAAAATAACCACGACATATTACCCGTAAATTAAGCTACGTTTAGTAGTTAAGTCAACTCTAGGATTAAGAAATTGTTTAAAATAAAAGACATTCTACCCATCCCTATCTTCTCGTGGAAGCTATAAATATTGGTAAAACTATACGCCATCTACAAATGGGAACTTCAGCTAGAATCGGATATAAGCTAACTAATCCACTCGAATCTTGTATCCGGTTACACAGTGAGAATAATAACCATTCCAACCTTCTTGAAAACTTTAAAATTATCGACTTCGGAACAACAGATTACCAACTCTTTATTAAAGAAAGCCTTTCCATTTTCAGTGGCCAGGCAACATTTTTTTTATTTTACTTTAAAGATGCAGTGTATATATACTTATATTTAAGCCTTTAATTATAAAATTTCCCTTAACAAGCTGATTAAATATATGTCTACTGCACATTTTACCGTACATTCAGTTATATTGTGAAGGTTTAAATCTGTGTTATTTTAAAACTTCTCGCTTAGTAGCTGATACTGCGTTTTTGTTTTTAAAATGTTGTGAATAAACTTTTTATGGTTTTAACGGTGAAGTTGGTGGGTATTATCATACGTTTTTATTGTTAAAACCTTCTAACTTGTATACTACAGTTTGTTGGTATCACCATACGTTTTTATTGTTAAAACCTTCTAACTTGTATACTACAGTTGGTGGGTATTACCATACGTTTTTATTGTTAAAACCTTCTCACTTGTATACTACAGTTGGTGGGTATTACCATACGATTTTATTGTTAAAACCTTCTCACTTGTATACTACAGTTTGTTGGTATTACCATACGTTTTTATTGTTAAAACCTTCTCACTTGTATACTACAGTTGGTGGGTATTACCATACGATT